CCCATGTACCGAGGCTGAGTCCTGCAGTGCCCCAGAGTTTGAATCCGACCTGCAGCCCTTTGCTGCGTGTCATCCCCTCTCTCTCTGCCCCCATTTCCTGTCTGTCTTCAGCTGTCACTATCAAATAAAGGCAATAAAAAAGTCAAAAAAGTACTTAAAAAAAACTGATCAACAGATGATGGCAGGTTTGAGTCTTTTGTAATAATGATGAAATATTACTTATTAAGTGTATTTGCATTGTATTTATGATACATATTTGTTGTCAAATTGGTGACTATGTTCCTTACTTTTATTTTATTTGTTTGCAGTGTTTCTTGTTTGGTATTTTTTGTAAAAGATGGAGGATGTTTTCTTCATTTGCTTTTGTTATGTCTTGTTGCTTGTGTTTTCTGAAGCTGCAGTGTATTGAACTCTCTCAGCCAACAATATATTTGTGGTTTTTATACCGCACATAAAAAACTGACAGCATTTGATACACTAGAAAAACCAGCTTCTATTGTTTATCTTGTTCTTTCCCCTGGTCTGGTTCGGAGAAACACCCAAAATTCTTCCAGCTTTTCCAACCATACAATTTGTATCAGACATCAAGATGCCTCTTGGTAAACCAAATAACCACCATTTGCACACTTTGGGTTTAACATCAGGAAGAAAGATAAACCTACATATGATTTTTTTTCATTCCTTTGTTTGTAGGTACAGTTTATAAGTAAGCAGGAGTGTACCTGAAAGCTCTTGTTCTTCTGTGTTCATTGTAGATAATGGTCTGACTTTCCCTCAACTCCCCTGTGATTGAGAACCTACAGGAAAAAATACACATCTCTGTAGTTTCACTGAAACCAAACATTGTATTCTTAGAGATTCCTTCCAGATCAGTAGCCAACAATCAAATCAGATCAGTCAAAACTCTCCACTAACAATATCTTTAGTGTAATTGATCTGAGACAGTTATGTGCAATTTCAATGTAAAGTACTTGACCAATTATAGGTAAGTAATTGCAATATAACTGGAGGAAAATTCAGACCTAATATAAAACAGCCAAATGGTTCCAGCATGTAAAGTTTCACTGAAACGTACCTGACATCAGACGGCAGAACACTCTGGGAACGTCTGTGTCAGCTGTGGTTTTCATACTGCACAAAGAAACCAAAAGCATTTGATACACTAGAAAAACATGTTTCTATTATTTATCTTGTTCTTTCCACTCTGAGTTTGGATAAAGGACGATTGTGCCAGCTTGGTATGTTATTAGTAAACTTGTCTGGCTCAAAACACTCCAAATTCTTCCAGCTCTTCCAAACATACAGTTTTTATCAGACAGCAAAGTAATTCATATCCCACCTTTTAAAATATGGAAAATACCATATAATGCCCAGTTGAATATGTTTTTGGTTCAGCATGGAAATAAAGGAAATGCAACATTTTGTTATTTATTTAGAAAAAAAGTCAACATTAACACAGTGGCTCATTGGCCATTACTATTACTGATAAAACTGATCAAGAGATGATTGCAGGATAGAGTCTTTTGTAATAATGATGAAATATTACTTATTAACTGTATTTACATTGTATTTGTGACATATTTGTTGTCAAATTGGTGAGAATGTTCCTTAATTTGCTTGTATTTTATCTGTTTGCAGTGTTTCTTGGCTGCAGTGTATTGAACTCTCTCAGCCAACAATATTCATATCTGGAAACTTAAAATCCGTTTGAATTAATGTAAGCCTCTTGACTTGTAGACAGTCTATTTCTCTGTCAGAAATCATCTTACGTATTTCTTCTTCACTTCGTTAAAACAGGAAACCCTTTTCTTTTAGCCAGATTGGTCTGGTTTTATGCGTATTATTACAAACTAGTGCAGTTATCTTTTCTTCAAGATGCTGACATAATACTGCATTTATTTAAACTATATTGAACACACACTGACATATATTGAAAAAAACTGTTAAATCGTTTTGTTTTACATGACAAATAATATGAATATAGCATTTACATGAGAGAAGTTTAAACTTTGGATTTAAAACAATCAAATGGTATTAATCAAAACTCTAGACAAACAGTATCTGCAGTCTGTAATTTAATATAAACAGACAAATCGGACAAAAAACTATTAAATGGTTCCAGCATAAAGTTTCACTGAAACTTACCTGACATTAGGTCATCACATTAGGTGTTCTGTGGTTGCCTGCTGTCAACTCTGATATTTATACTGCAAATACAGAAACCAAAAGCATTTTAAACACTGGAATACCAGCTTTATATAGTGTGTCTTGTTCTTTCCCCTCTGGGTTTGTACATGTTGCATAAGGTGTGTCAGTGAACCGGTCTGGCTGGGTATAAACCCCAAAATTCTTGCAGCTCTTCCAAACTTTCAGTTTTGATTAGACGCTGAGATGTCATTTGGTGGATCAATTCATATGCCACTTATTTATTTATTGTTATTACATCACCCATGTGGATCAGTGCCACCCTCTTTTCTCATGGGCACTCTATTCATTAGAAATGATTGACACATTCTTCTACACTTCCTTAAAGCTGACAGGAATCATTCTCTAACAACTAGACTGATTTGTTTTTCTCATGCTCTTCAAAAGCATTTCCACAACACTGTTAAAGGACAATAATAGTTGTTTTGGTGTCATCTGTTGAGCAGTGGTGGGTTGAGTAAATGTACTTTACTCAAGTATTTTGTTAGGTGGTCATTTTAAATTGCCGGTAGGTGATATATACATGCATCTTAGGTGATCTGATATACAAGTGGACAGTTCTCAGTATGGTGTGTGTGTGTGTGTGTGTGTGTGTGTGTGTTGTAATAAAAAAAAAACACAACAACTAACCATAAAAATCAAAGCAAATATTTGGAGACAAAAACCACCAACTTCCAAGGTATACCGGCCTATATCCTCTCAAAACCCCAAATCAAATGGAGACTGTCCTACCTCCCATTACCAGCAAGAGTCGGAAACCTGTAAACATGTTTAATCAAATAGCACCCTGTTTAAGTTCCCATGAAACGGAGTGGACTAGGACCAAATACAGCCTCTGACACCAAAAGAGGCCAGTTTAACAGAGAAAATAGTACCAGGGTGGTTTTCTTGTTTGGTTTGGCTCCTGATACATGTGGTGGCAATTTGTTTAATAAAGCATACAAAGTATGT